CAAATCGTAAATCATAATCGAGCGATGTGAAAAAGCTATCCATGAACGCATAACAGGTATCCAAATTCGATCCGAGTATCCAAAGCATGGAAGATCAACAATATAACAAATAAGCGTAATTTTGATCAGTCGTGATGATATCAAATCAACCATTACAAAAATATAAATGAAAACAATGGTCAAACAATCTTAAAATATGTCAAAAGACATAAGAAAAATTGCTATAAAGGCAGATGAAAATATACCATGAAGATAGATGAAAACTTGTCATACAAACAAACTTATTGAAAATTAAAATAAAAAAATAAAAATAAAATGACAATAGAGAATATCGACGGTCGACAACTAACATTAAAATTTGTGTCGCCTCCGATCAATAAATATGAAAAAAAAGATAAACGACGTATCCATCAGAGAAAATTAGAAGGAAAAATTATTTAATAATTAAAATTTTGTAAGCCCACTTCTAAATTGCCGATGGTAGAACAAACTTTTAGTGACATTTATTTTCTTTAAGAATATGTTCCATTTCTTTAATGTCCTTTTTTATAAAGAAAAGGGTAGAATATACATAATTTGATTTATGACAATAAAGTGAAACATCAATGTTTGAGTAAGGTCCACTATCTGCACTCAAAACGACATAGGTCCACAATATGATATGCATATGCATTAATTTGATAAGTATGTACTCGGTCCAAAAAGAATATAGTATATAGTTCTGAATCTTTTAAAATTTGAAAGTTTATTATGCACCAATTGACGCAATCAAGAATTAATCAAATCTAATATTTTATTAATTTGATAATTTTACTAATGCCTTTTGTTTAAAATCTCCATGATGAATAAATAATTCATTTTTATTAAAAAAATTGAGAAAGTTAAATTTACTCATTCAATCTCATAAAAAAGGACAGTTAATTATTTAGTATTCTATTATTTTAATATTTTTATTTTGATCCTTCAACTATTTTTTAAAAAATATTAATATAAAAATAAATGTCTAAAGAATGTCTCGATAAACGTTTTAGTGTTTAAGAAATTTTTCATTAAAAATAGGTGCCTAAAGTTTTATCCGTCACATTTTTATATGCATACTGTCAAAAAAAAATCTTAGATGACATGTGTCACGTTTATATTTTTTTAAAATAAAATATTATTTAATTGTTTTTAAAAACATGGAATTGACATTTGTCACTTTACTATTTTTTTAACGGTATGTACCTAAAAGAGTAAAAGAAAATTTTAGATACCTATTTTTAACGAAAAGTTCTTTAGATATTAAAAATTAATTTTGAGTATAGTTTAAGCATTTATTTTTATATTAAATATTTTAAAATTATACTTAATTTTATATTTTATCTATATTTTAATATTTCATCATTAAAAGTTAATAAAAATATTTGCATAATATTTTTATTGTTATTATTTTAAATTTCAACATTATTTTCTCTTTTATCATCATAAACTCGTTGATATTTATTAATATTTTTAAGAAACAAGAGAGAGAAAACGATGTCGATATAAAAAAAAGAAAAAATAATCGCAGTGACAAAAAATGCCTTATAATATACGATTTTAACCAATTTTTTTTGGATTTGCCAAAATGACCAACTAAATCGCAATGCGATCGATAACTCACCACGTGATTTCCGGTATCGCAAATCAGTTTCCAGATTCGCAACGCGAACTTCACTATCGCATTGCGATTTACATATTCGCATTGCGATAGTCGAAGTTCGCATTGCGATTTATTCCAAGTTCGTTGCGATAGTCGAAGTTCGCGTTGCGATTTATTCCAAGTTCGCGTTGCGATTTATTCCAAATTCGTTGCGATAGTCGAAGTTCGTGTTGCGATTTATTCCAAATTCGCGTTGCGATTTATTCCAAGTTCGTTGCGATAGTCCAAAATCGCAACGACGGTATTGCATTTGTTTCTTAAGAATTTTCTCTAAAAAGATAGTATTCGCGCGGACGTGTCGAAGACACGTATTACCATTACCATTACCATTACCATTACCACGAACACGACCACGACCCGACCCGACCCGAGACGAGACGGGACGGCGGCGGCGGCGGCGCGCGAGAGTCCCCATTGTTCTCTATCACTCAACAAGGAAGTGGGAAAGCCAAGCCTTAAATACCATTATCAATAGTGTTTCCAATACTATGTGGGATTGAGCATTACCAACACTTGTTCCCACACACTATGTGGGATTGAGCCTTAAATAGTGATATTATTTTTGAATGTTTTGCTTAAAATTGCAATAATCGCGATTGATTGTAGATTGACTTTTAATTATGACATATTTAATCGTATAATACTAATGCAATTGGTTGCTGATTCAATTGTTTTAAGGTGCATGATTGTTAATTGTTTCCTGAATAATCACATTGTATTGGAAACAAGTGTTGGTAATGCTCAATCCCAGATAGTATTGGAAATACCATTGGGAATGGTATTTAATGCTTGTCTTTCCCACTTCCTTGTTGAGTAATAGAGAGCAAGGGGGACTCTCGCGCGCCACCGCCGCCGCCGTCCGTCTCGGGTCGTGGTCGTGGTCGTGGTAATACGTGTCTTCGACACGTCCGCGCGAATACTATCTTTTTAGAGAAAATTCTTAAGAAACAAATGCAATACCACCAGTCGTTGCGATTTTGGACTATCGCAACGAATTTGGAAAATCGTAATGCGAACTTCGACTATCGCAATGCAAATTTGGACTATCGCAATGCGAACTTGGACTATCGCAATGCGAACTTGGACTATCGCAATGCGAACTTCGACTATCGTAATGCGAATATGTAAATCGCAATGCGATAGTCCAAGTTCGCATTGCGATAGTCCAAGTTCGTATTGCGATAGTCGAAGTTTGCGTTGCGAATCTGGAAACTGGTTTGCGATACCGGAGATCGCGTTGCGAATTATCGATCGCATTGCGATTTAGTTGGTTATTTTGGCAAATCCAAAAAAAGTTGGTTAAAATCGTATATTATAAGACATTTTTGGTCAATGAGTTTATTTTCTCTAAAAAAATATTAAAAATACTACGTAAGCGACACAGTTATTTTTTTAACATTAAGTGTTAAAATTGAAAAAATACATAATATTAAGTATAATTTTGTCAAAAGTAACAATTTACTGACCAAAACACAAAGGCATGAATAGATGAGATACCAAACAAATAATTTAGGCTTAATACCAAAATAAGTGCTCAAAGCCCCCAAACTATGCTTAAATTTTTGAATAGATGCCTAAACTATTTTTTAACACATTAAGGTGCCTAACATTACAAACGTTACCCATTTAGGTGCATGGCTTTCAACGGTGTTAATTTCCCTGTTAAGTGACACATGTCATAATCCGGTGATTTTGAAATTTATTTTTTTAATACTATTATATTTATAAAAAAATGTTTTCTCTTAAATTTTACAAAAGCACCAAATACCTAAAATCCTCAAATCTTATCCTTAGATCGCTGCCCCCTTTCCGGACACGACCACTGCCGCCGACGTAGTCCCTGCTATCCTCCTAGTCATACGTCATTGTAGTTGTCGTTGATTGACCGTCGAGATCGCATGGGATCATGGTTTTCATCATAGGGTTCAAATGATATTAAATATCGATTCGCTGTCGATCGATCACGATTTCATGGGAGTTTTGGTCGACGGAGGGAGATGAGGTCAGATGGAGTATCGTCAACGACAAAGGGTGGTGGCCTACGTGGGTTTAATGTTTATGTTTTTGAAATTGTGTGGTTGGTGGACTGTTCACTTGCATTCCCATGTCTCCAACTACCACTTAATACGAAGGAAAAAAAAGAACCTTTAATTTTGATTAATGTGTTTTAAAATATCATATTATAATTAATTGTTAAAATATATATTTTTAGGGGTTGTTGAAAATTTTGGGCTTGCGATAGCAGGCGACTGTAATCGCGGTCATTGAGCCCGGTACACTGGTTTTATTATGTTTTAGGGTAAATTATATATTTAATCATTTACCTATTCTCGCGATTCTGTTTTGAGTATCCAACTATTTTTTCTTTTTCTAAATCATACGTTTCGGTAATACCACATCATAATAAAAAAAAAAGTTATTACGTCAGTAGTTTCGTTTATTTTCTAACTACGAGTGATCAAAATAGAACCAAAACGTAACATTAGATAAAATTTTGAAAACAAATAGTTGGATAGCAAAAACAGAATCACAAGAATAGGTGAGCTGCTAAATACGTAATTTACCCCATGTTTTATGATGTTATAAATTTAGTTTGTTGGCTATTTGGGCCTTCTAGTTATTGGGTAGATGGGTTAATTTGGATAATTGAGTAGTTCATCTTGTATTTAATGGGTCCATTTTGGTAGTAATTGATTGGGACCGTAAATGGAAATCCCCAAATCTAAAAGCTAATTTTTTTTATTAAGATGTTGTGATTATAAAATAGTATTTGTTCTAAGTAATTTTAATCATTTGATAATGAACGTGTAATTATTTTTACAGTTATCGATGCTCGAACTTGTGACATCTGGAAATAACAATGATTTCTTTAACCATAGAGATAATTTGGTTCGTGCATAAAAGGATAAAATTTATATGGGCAATGAACTTAATGTGTATATTCTTACACGAGGTTAGTGATGGAAGTACATAGAATTAACAGTGGAACTATAAAATTCTATCGTACTTTTTAAAAATAATGTCAAATATACTCTTAACATTAAAAACAAAACATAAAACAATATTGAAAAAAACTAGCAAAAACCCAAGAAAAGGATTAAAATAATAATAATAATAATAATAATAAAAGAAATCAACAATTAATTTTCTTCTTTGATGACACAATCAGAATATCCACCATTGTCTCTGACAATACTAACTCTTTTTCAATTTAATCCCTCCTATCTTGGCATCCCACGTGTCCCCCTCCTATCTTAAAAAATAAAAAAGAAAAAAATTGTCACCCTCCTATATTAGCATCCCACGTGTCCCCTTTTTGAGCCCTTCAATTTCTTTTTCTTTTTTTTTGTCTTAAAGGGACCCCCACACTAGTAGAAAAACAGCAATTGGGAAACACATAACATGAAACAAATAATTACCCCCCCAACCCCATTGTTAGATATCTTTATTGCATTTCTTTTTGCACCAGATCTTCTGACTGATCAACTCATGAGTTGTTCTTCATTCTCCGGCGGCGGCGGAGGCTGTTGCTGCGGTGCATGGTGGTGGTTATTGCCGCTGTTCATTTTCTTGAGGCTTTGTTGTTGCTGATAGACTTGTCTCAGTCTCTCAATTTCCTTCTTCAATGCTTCTTGATGAGCTGAAATGTTAATGCAACGTAAATATTCGTTTACCCAAAGTATATTTATTAAAAACAAACTTATATGATAATAGGAAATTTGCATGTATGTGAAAATAAGATACGGAATTGATTCAAATAATTGCATTGGAAAGAACATATCTTATCATGAAAAGGACTGTTTTTATATTAACAAAAATATTTAAGCAATTAAGCTAATAATACTGATTAATTATATAATTAAGAAACAAGTGTTACCATCTTTGAAAATCTTGTCTTGAGCCAAAGCTGCGATTCTTTGCTTCAAAGCACTATTGTCAACATTGAGAATCAGTCTTTGATGATCCAAGAATGCAACCCTTGGTGATAATGCTGATACTTCAGTCTTCATTTTTTTATATAAATCAAGAAAAAAAAATCAGAATTTATTTATTTTTTAATTAAAAAAAACACACGAATATGGATAATATGTTGGTCTGATTTGCACCTGTAATGTTGTGACGCTCCTTTCAAGCTCTGAAACATATTGCAGCTTTCTCACTCTTGATCTTTGTGCTGATTGCCGGTTTGCCAGAATTCTGTTCATTGAGCAAATGCAAATCAACGAAAGGTTTAAAAATGGTGGAAAAATAATGGGGTTTGAATTTTTTTTTGTTTGTGTTTTGTTTTACCTCTTAACTCTCTTCGGATCAACGATGGGGTCGCCATTGGAGTTCGATGGAGGCTCAGTAGCTTGTGGTTCAGTTTTGAACGAGCTCTCCACTTCCCCCGGTTCATTCTTGGGCTGTTGCAGATCCAGAGAGGGCACAGGTTTGCCATCGTTGTTGCTGTTTTGATCCGACGTCGGCGTCGAAGGGTTCGACGAGGATACGGTCGGGGCAACCGCCATGGTGACGGCGACGTCGTTGGAGAACAAAGACATGAGCTGCTCGTCGTCTAGACGGTCGAACTCATTGGTGTCGGTCATCATGGCATTGTTGTTGGAGTCCCCACATTCTTCCATCAATGGTTGCTCGAGGAAAGCAATGGAGTCGCCGATGGAACGCCGGTGAGCCCCGCGGCGCGCCGACGAGAAGTCGAGGAACTCATCCACCCACGAGGGGTGGTGGTTGGAGTCATTCACGGCGGCGGAAACGAAGTTGGCCATGGGCAACCTTTGGTGCGGGAATGAAGGCCAATTTTGGGTCATGTTCGGTATCTTTGGTGGTAATTGCGCCATTCAAAACAAAAACAAAACAAAATATGGAGAGCTCGAAAAACAAAGACAATCTTAATCACTAAAAAGCTAACCAACCAACTAACCCGACCAGACCATAGGAGAGAGTGATCTTTAAGCCAATGATGTTCAATGGGGGGATAAGAGTAGTTTTATTAGTTTATATTTGAAGAAGCGGGGGGAGGTGGGTCACATGGGGGGAGAATAGGGACAGCTAGCAACAGCTGGGGGCTTTTTTCCGATGGAAAGTCGCACTGTGAGTTTAATTAACTGGTGGAATCAGGGCAAAAGTTCTCCTATAATGCTACAGAAAATTTTTAATTTCCAAATTAAAGTGTTCATCAGATTAATTTCTCAAATGGGATATTTTCTACAATAAATTTGGGATATCTCGGCGTCTTCAGGGTTAACCAATTTTTTGGTGGGATCTCCCGGCGTCTTTAGGGTGTTGGATTATTTGTGTTTTCTACGGTAGATTTAGGATTTCTCGACGTCTTCAGGGTGAACCAGATTTTTTTTTACTCTTTGCTTTTAGTTGAAATCTATGAAAAAATTTGGCCTTTTTACACAAATATCACCTTAACATAAATTAATTATTTGTTAGGCACTGTTTAAGAATATTTTACAGATCAAGCAAATTTTTAAATATTTTCTATAAAATTAATCATATTTTGTTAGTATTTTATTTAATTATTGTATTATTTAATTTTTTTATTATTTTATTTAATTATTTTATTTTTTACAATTATAAAATAGAAAGTGGTCCTTGAATAATTATATTCGGATTTCTCGGCTTTTAAACTTTTCTCTCGACTATAAATACGCTCTCAACACGTGGATATCTATACTGAAGCAACGACATTCTTCTAGTTTAGAGGATTGATGTGAATGTTTACAGGTTGAGAGCATATTTACAGCCGAGAGAAAAGTTTAAAAGCCGAGAAATACGAATATAATTATTCAAGGACCACTTTCCAATTTATAACTGTAAAAAAAATAAAATAATTAAATAAAATAATAAAAAATTAAATAATAAAATAATTAATACAAAATATGATTAAATTTATAGAAAGTATTTAAAAATTTGTTAGATCCGTAAAATATTCTTAAACAATGCTTAACAAGTAATTAATTTATGTTAAGGTGATATTTGTGTAAAAAAGCCAAATTTTTTAATGAATTCCACTAAAGACGCCTAGAGATCCCAATAAATAATCCAAAAATCTGATTAACCCTAAAGACGCCGAGAGATCCCAAATTTACTGTAGAAAACACCTTATTTGAGGAATTAATCGGATGAACACTTTAGTTTGGGAATTAAAAATTCCCTGTAGCATTATATTAGAACTTTTACCGCACCACCACGTGCCGATGTGACCACTTTCATTGGCATCAACTCCATTCTATATTATTTTACATACACTAACATTATCTATTAACCTTTTCCGACATAAGGTATATGCATTTGTGTATTATATGCCCCCTTCCCCCATCTAAATATATAATATTTTATCAGCCCTACACATCCACAACCTCCTTGATATTCATCTTCAATAAGTGGCGATCCAAAAATAATTTCCAGCCTAAGCACACATATATTAATAATATAAAAATTTTAAATTAGACGAATACAAATAAAATTTTAAAGTAGGTATCGTTTATAAAATAAGATTTCAGGATGTGCACCATCAATAAAATAAATAATTAATCAAAGAAAATTCAGATTTCATGGTGGGCATGTGTCCACCCTGACCAAGTTGTGCTCCGCCACTGTCTTCAATCATTCTACGCATATATTCATGGAGACAGTCATGATTCTAATTCAAGAGGTAAAGTATAACTAACAATAGAACATGAAAATGAAAAAAAAAATCAAAATAAACCAAAATGAGAGGGGCAAAATTAAAATAAATAAAAATTTAAAGTTTTCCTTATATATTTTTCAATAATAAAAAATTAGGGGACCTGCATTTGTCACCTCTACACCAATTTCACCTCAAATTATGCTCTTGGTTTAACCATGCATAAATTATAAAATTTTAAAATTTTAAAAATACAACTACAATCGATCAAATTAATGTATAGGAACTAAATTTGCAACATAGACATAAACATAGGGACTAATAATAGAATTTGACTCCTATTTTAACTTTCTTATAATTATCCTCAAATTTTAATATAGATCTAAAATTGAAACTTTAGAACATTCTAATTGAATACACACTATGTCAATATCGTCTCACTTAACTCTATTCTTTCATATAATCTATCCTTTAGTTTGAACGTTAAATGTCAATTTTGATATGACGTGGAGTATATTTCAAATACATTCTAATTAACCTAGAAATTGTTTACATGAACTTCCCAATGGTTTACCTGAACTTCCACAACCTCAAATGGGCGGTCAGGGATAGACCGAAAGAGGTGTCGGGTGCAATTGTATTATTAGAAAATTTAAATTCCTTTATATTTTAAGTTTTTATATATTTTTAATTAATTATCAAATTTCACACTCCTAAAGTTTTATAACTTCACATCCCCATAATTTTTAATATAACCTATTAAATTCACACCCCTAACATAAATTATTGCGTCTGTCCGGAGTGGTTACCTTTGTCTAGGAAGAAAGAACTAATCGATTATTAATATTATATTAAATAGTACTTTATGAAAAAAAAGGATAAAGTACGGAAATGGTCATTTGACTATAGGATATTAGTTTATTAAATTCCCTGATTATTAAAAATTACAAAATGGTCCTCTGACTATAGGGAATTTTTTTGTTGAATCACTTGACTATTAAAAGTTACAAAATAGTCACCCAACTATTCATTATATTCCAAACTCATCATTTTCCGTTAAAAATTTGATGGGAGTCAGATTTGTACGTTAACTCGTTGACTTAGATATGATAAAATCCGATCTCATAATCTTAAACGACTAACATATCACATTCAGCATGTTAATGTCCAATTCAAATGATAATTAAGTTTTTTAATGGAAAAGGACGAGTTTGGAACGCAATAAATAGTTGAGTGATCATTTTGTAACTTTTAATAGACGAGGGACTCAACAAAGCAACTTCCTATAATTGAGGGACCATTTGTGTACTTTACCCAAAAGAATAATGGTCCATTTTCAAGGAATTATGTTAATTTGAAAAATAATAGAAATTCAGAAGCATTCAATGAATTATTATGGGTACCAAACTGTTGGTAAACCACTGTTATTAAAAGTTGCTGATACATTTAGGTTAAAAGGACAATATATATATACAATGAAATCCTATTAAGCACTTGCTAGTAATATTAATCGAAAGAGTTTTAGGAAAAATATTGATTCTTCCATTTATATTAATGCATGTGCCTACTAATAAGTACACGGCAAATTGGGTACAGATCATTTTCATCTAATGTATATATTTTACACCTAACAAATAATTATGTGTTTTTTTATTTATCTTTAAGGTCTTAAGTTTGAGCCCTTCTATGTAAATTATTTGCGAGTTCTCTTATAAATTTCACTTAACTTTAAGCAAAAGGGTATGCAATAAACCCAATTTATTATTTTATCCCTTATCTTTTTTGCATTAATTTTACTCTCAAAGTTGTTGTCTATGATATTCATCCTAGCCTTCAAAATTCGTTTTGACTAACAAACCATTAGTCTTATGCATTTTTCAACCAGCAATTTCCAGATCAACCAAATTTTTACTGACGTGGCTTGATGATGACGTGATATTTATTAAAAAAATAAAATATTTAAAATATTTACTAAATACAATAATTAGAAAAAATCTCCAAAAATTTGACCCAGTCCCTTAATTTCACTTAAATAAATAATAAAAATTTTAGGAATTTTTTATAACGAGTGTGTTTAATAAATATTTTAACCTATTTTCTTGTGTTTAATAAATATTTTAACCTAATCTCTCAATCCACAGATGCAAAAGACTCACAGTTCTTTTAGTAAAAAACCATCAATAGAATTTGATGGCTATGATGAACAACATGTCAACATACACAACTTCGAGGGCTAAATTGATGCAAAAAAAATGATAGGAGCGAAAAAGATAAATTAAGTTTACTACAAGGGCAATAGTGACCCTTAAACCTAACTTTAATTAATTGTTTAATTAATTATAAAATTTAGTGTTCGTAATAGTTGATTCTGATATAGATTGATAGATAAAAATAACAGTTTAGATAATAAATTTGGATATATGTGAATATCCAATTTTTTTCCTAGATTAAAATAACATTTATATTAGAATGTTAAATTATTATCCACCGTAGATTTAAAGAATATGTTTAATTAGTATCCTAATGCCATAATGACCTCCTAATTTTATAAAATTTCATTTTAGTCATTAAAATAAATTTCCTAAAATGGAGTAAATTGTGTTTTCCCTCTTAAATTCTTCAAATATTCATTTTCATCCTCAAAACAGAAATCTAAAAAAAATACATTGAAAGATTATATTATTAGTCCCTATTAAAAACTGAAAATTCAAGTAAACCCCTATAATCCCTTGATTAAGGAAAATTTTCATTTTTGGACATCATAAAGAGTAATGATTCAATTTAAACTCTTTAACACGAGTTGTTTTTAATCTCGACCGCCTAAACTTTTATAATTTGATCCTTCACCCCAACATAAATTTTCTAACTTCGTTATCGGCATTATCGAGAATAAAAGTGCATTATGAAGTATGCATATATAGAAAAATAATAATGTATGTAATGGGAAGATGTAGGGAATTCGGGGTAGGGGGATGAGCTGTGAAAGAAAGTGAAGTTGTAAGAATCATGTCCTATCTTCTTCTCCATGTGAGTAAGAGCCCCCACTTCTTCCCCTTAGCTTCTTGGTACCTTCCATCGTCTCATGTTGGCATTTATGTTGGGATTCTTTTAAAGATTAAAACACAACCCTAATCATGATTAGTCGAAAAAGTAATGAGGCATGTTCAGTAACCCCTCTGGCAAGTAAAAGTTTGTCTCTGATTAATTTATCTTTATCCATATTCTAATTTGTACTTTACATTAATAATCACATAATCATACTTTAAATTCTATATTTTTTTAT